ATACTCAATCAGAATAATTTCAAGATTTTCATGTTGTAGAGACTTACAATGTTGTTTTAGTTATCAGCAAGCAGAAAAAGCTGTCCAATTTGCTGTTCCTCGACTTTTATCTATGGGAATCAAAGTAATTCGGCCACCTGACTATTATGCCGAAATGGCAAAAAGCGATGGTCACATGCAAAAAGTACTAGTTCTACAATAAGTGTGCCTTTATAAATTTTCGTCCTTCTTTTTTTTTGTTCCAGATTTGTGGATTCCTTGCATCCCACTATCTTTTTTATTTAGGTGCGTAAACGACTGCTGAAGATCCAAGAAGGCAAGGAAAGGCAGGAAGCTATTCGTAGAATGCGGGAGGAGAAAAAATACGCGTCTAAAGTTCAAAAAGTGCGGATTTTGGCGCAATCATCACAGCTTCTGTTCCACTGAATTGCAATTTTTACTAAAAAATTTTAGGAAGTTTTGGAAAAGCGAATAAGTGAAAAGAAACAATTAATGGAAGCTGTGAAGAAGCATAAGAAAGGAATGAAACAACAGTTGGAAGATATGTTGAGCAATGTTAAAAGAATGGGTTTGGATCAGGTTCGTCCCCATTTTCCTTGCAGAAAAACAGTGCGATCATTTAATGTGGGTAGGTTCCAACAATCAACAGTATGGAATTCTTGTGAATTTAGGAGGATGAACCCGTTCCTAGTGGATCTGCGAACAAAAACGCTATAAACAAGTTTGGCCGTACAAAGACAGGGCGAGGATTTGATGCGAAGAAGCAGTGGAAAGATCAAAAGTTTGGCTATGGTGGTAGAAAAAAAGGTAGCAAGCGGAATGACAGAGAAAGGTTGGCTATCCCTTCGCTTTTAGATTTTTCTCATCGATACACTTCTCGATTGAAATATTCTTTGCGTCATGTGTTGTGAAAGTGCTCCTATTGGCTTGTTTCTTTCCAGTTTTGAGAATATAACGGATAGAAGAGAGAAATTTGGAAAATCAGGCCATGGTGGTGGAGGTTTCCGTGGGAAAGCACGAATAAGAGGTGGTAGATCTCGAGGAGGCAGACGATGATGTTGGCTTATCGCTTTCCAACTTCATTTAGATGTTTGTTACTTGTTACTTTTGATTTATTTTCGTTGTTATTTCTCCTTTTTTGCTCGTATTGTTACCGATGTTGTTCCCATAACTACTGTTACTTTTGCTTTCTGCGTGATAAACGTTAGTGACTGCTCCTAAGTAGTTACAAATTTGGTTTGTGCCATATATCTCTGAAAACCTCTATTCTTCGCAATGCTACCTTCAAGGAGTTATATATTTTGTTGTTCATGATTGATTCATCATTCGCAGTTGTCTAATTTTGAGTGCAAAGTTGTTAATGTGGGTGTAGGAGATTAATTAGAACTTTTTTGGTTTGAAATTTGGTCAGAATCTCAAGTAGCTTCATGAGTGAAATCACTTGTGTAGACTGCTCTCTGTCTTGCAAACATTTTGCTTATTTAGGAAAAGTGTTTGGAAAGATGAGTCTTCCATAGGTCATGTAAAAACACCAGTCTTACGCATAAAATGCATGTCATTTAGATGGATTATAGCAGCCTTCAGTCTAGCCTGTCCAGTTTTTAACATGCTACTACATCTTGTCTCAGGCGTGTTCATATTTTTCGTACGTTTGTTTTGCGCACTTATTCCATACTTTTATCTACTTCGTCGAAGCCATAATGAGGACAAGTGAGTAAATTTGGGTGATTTCGTGGTTATTACAAACTCGAAGTTGTTCTAGGCGTATCATCTCGTTGTCACTCTGCAACTGCGTTGCATGTGGTATTTTCTTATCAGTATGCTTCCTTGGACTGATTCCTCATGTTCATCGTGAAGAAGTTGATATTAGGTGAGTATTGAAGCTCTCGTATGATAGCGATAGCTGATGTTTACATCTTTACTTTTTTCGGAGCAGCTTC